CTTCACTAAAAAAGTTTGGTATTCATCAGGGAACAGGTTTCCCCCAAAAAGTACCAACTGAAAAAGCGCTGGTAGTTGGGTTGTTCATGCCCCCCACCAAATGCCATCGACCCTGCAAACTCAAAGCCTTTTTAGACCTGCAGGAGTACATTCCTATATCTCTGAACTCCTACCGACAGGCGCAACTTTGGGATATGATGTTGAATTCAAGCCGTGACAAAAGGTTTGGCGTAAGAACCAGGTTTTGAACCGTGTTTTTTTTGGACAATATGTGAGTGTTTCACCAAAGAAAGGGGGCCAATGTCTCCCGGTGCTTTCCTTGTGGCTGGGGCCCGCTTCTTTTAGTTGGCATTGCTTGGGAAAAACCTGCCCCCGTAACCTCCCAGTACCCGTTTTTTTTTTTTTTTTTTGTGTTGGTCTGATGTCGACCCTGTACGAAGAAAGGGATCGTTATGAGGTCACAATCTCAAGTGGCAAGTTTCCGACTTTGACAGCGAGAAACAGAACCAAGTCAGCCCATGTAGCCCAAAGCGTGTTGATTTCGATGCCGAAGGAATCCTTACGGAAGGCCTCAGTCTCCGGGCGGAGGCCGGAAAAAAACTCCGACGCCTGGACCTCCCAGATTGTGAAGCTTGGACCCCCGCGACCTCCAAATGCCCGGCCTTGTTTCAGGGTATCATGTCGACCCTCCACTAAAAAAGGAGGCATTTGCCGTGGAAAACCGAGCGGTTTTCCCACAACTACCCTGAAAAAAAGAAAGCGGGTATTTTGAGAAGGGGGGGAGTTTTGCGCCACGTTGGGAAAGCGAAAGCGACGAACGGACACCTTTTCCCGCGGGAAATTCCGTCAAATCAAAGTCAGCCGGCCCAACCCCCGAAGCTCCAAATTTCTACCCGTAGTTTTTTGGGTATGATGGTCAACCTCATGACTAAAAGCGAGGAGGCATTCACCCTTAAAAGGATGGGGTATTTGGACCCCGACCGCCCGCAGTTTGTGAAAGGTGGCCACATTTTGGAGGTCTGGGGAGCTATGAATCCCACAGCTCCCACATGTGGATGGGAGGATTGCGCCTGTCTCACAGGGTTGGGCGAAAATGGTTAGCCTTGCCCCTTACTCCAAAATACCCGCAGCTACTGTTGCTGGGGTGTTGTTGGGCAAACCTGGCAAGGTACATGCCTCCCTTCTTTGTCAAGGGTTAGCATCATATGCTAGCATACCCTGTAACATGTGGGTATTAGGAGTAGGGGGTAGAGGGAGCCACAAGGAAGTTCAAGCAAGACTCCGGTTGAAGGTGTTGTTCTTTAAGCGGCCCTGTATCCCAAAGCCCAGGGCCCCTTCTTGGTGGTTTGGATTGGTGGTGGGCAACGTGGAAACTCCACCCCGGAACGCCTCCAAACCACCTGCTGAGAAAAGCTGAAGGTGTTGACTCCACAGGGAGCTTCGCCCAACCCCGGTTTGAGACATCAGAGACATCAGACACTTTGCTGCTGGCAGGCAGGTCTGAAGCGATGAGTGGCAACTGAAGGATCTAGGGGTACTCTTCAGGCCCAAAATGGGTGTGGTTAAGATAAGGAACGCCTAAATGGTGGTTTCCCTTTCGTTTCCTCCTTAAAACACACCCACACGCACACAACTTAGTACTCTCAAAGAGAGACAGACCTAAATCGTCAGAATAATGATTATTGGGGTTGTGGGATGTCTTAAAACCAAATTCAGTCATAGCAACATGTGTTTTCCAACCATTCACGATTAGAATGCGGTTGTGGGATATTCAGAACCAAACTATGTCATGATCATAGCAACAAGTTACTCACTTTTTAGGCCCTTGCCGGTCTGACAACAGGCATCCGAATCTTTGAACATCAACCCTTGAACTTAAGGGAAGGACAATCACCCATTGTGTGGGCGACAATGTTTTTTACGCATCCGATATAGGATGCTTTCTCCCTACTCCAAATACCTCTCTTTTTTTCCGGGTATGTTTTGGAAAACCGATCGATTTTCCGTGGTACATACATCCTTTTTGTATGGGGTTGACATCACAACGTGACAGAAACCGGATATTTGGTGTAGGGGGTAGTCTACTGGGAAAAAGGACAACCCAACTGTGCCGCATCCGAGCATAGAGGGCCTCAATTTCCCCTATTTACCCTCTCGGGGAAAGAATCTTGTGCGCAAAGGGGGTTCATCTAGCCTAGGTCCCCCAGCTAGGTGCCCTTTTACCCCTTTTTTTGGGGAGGGTTCCCCTACTACAATAGACTACAGAAAAAAGTTGGTACCCTTATTCTAACCTCTCTACTGGAGGACCTAGTAGCCCACCAACAGTTCAACTTGCAGGGGATCAGTTTGGACAGCCCACAACTTGCTTGGGATGTGAACCATGCCTTACCTCCACCCTGGGCTGGCAAAGCGGCATCGCAGAGCATCATTTTTCTCTCAACCTGAAATCCCGAAACTTGGACACGCACACGACCTCCCCCCCAAATAATGTATTGCATTGTCCCTACTCCGCATATCTGTTGCTTTGGCGTATGGTGTCAACCCTTGCCTGAAAATGAGGCAAACCGAGAAGGGTTTCGAAACAACACCCCAGAAAAAGGCGGCGTTGGAGGGGGGCTTCCTTTCTTAAGAGGTAATCTGAGGACACGGGAAGCCATTTGCCGAGGAACTCCCAAAACCAGATCCAAAAGAAGCTGGGCCAGTTGCTCAAAACCGGGTAGATCAAGGGGCAGTCCCAGCCAGAAAGAGGTGCAAACAGTCCGCCTTTTAGACTTCCTCCCCTAAGGCTCCCATAATGCAGGCCCCAGTTCAATGAAGAATCCGGATTCCTCAGGGGCCCTTGAATCGAAAACAACCACCATTTTGAGGGCCCGAAAATCATCGAATTGGAGCCTTGGGGTAGGATGTGGATTCCGGTTGTTCCAACATCAGAACCAGGAGCGTTAGGGTCACATAGCCAAAAATCATGGAGGTATTCACCATGGAAAACCAAAAAACTCCCCGAAACAACCGGGGGGGTAGCCAAAAATATCATGCAACCACTCGTTTTTGGAGACTGCCACCGGTGTTCCCCGGTTTCGGGGCCTTCTCCTTGTCTGTGCCCCCGGGCGAGCTGTGCGAATCCCTGAACATCGGACCTGCCAAGGCCAAGATTTCGGATTTGCAGCACCCCCTGCTCCGAGTGCTTTTTTTTTTCAAAAGGGGGCAAGTGGCTACTAAAAAGGGGAGGAATGTATTTGCCATGGAACACCAGTCTTTTTCTTGCAAAAGTACTCTGAAAAAGCGGGTATTTGGAGTAGGGGGCACGGCCTGTGTGCCCTAATCACGCGTCTCGCCCCAAGAAGCTGTGACTGGTCTGCCAGATTGGGTGGTGCTCTCCTCCTTCTTTTTCTCTTTTCGAATCCAAACAACAGGGCCACCACCCGTGTTCAGGTTGCATGTTGTACATTCCAGGACTCTGCACCCTGCACCAGCTTCTTTTCGTGGCTTTTTTTCTTCAAGGCCGCGCGCCGCTTTGGATCTCCGCAGACCAGTACTTAGGTGTCCGTGAGGGGTGGGGGGGCCGAATAGAGGAGCCGACTGCCCCCATCACCGGGGTCTCACTCGAGCCCAACGAAAAGGCGCCTCGCTCCGGCGCCATGGTTTGAACGAAAAAAAGACAGAAAGCGCGCAGCGAGTTGCTGCACCAGCGGGTGCGTGCTAGCCGTCTAAGCAACATGTCGACCCTTTAAGCAACGAGGAGGTATTTGCAATGGCAAGCCGTTCTTTTTGCAACACACACCCGGAACAAGCAAAACGGTTATTTGGAATAGGGGGTACGCACACATGATCCTCCCATGATGAAGCAATTTGGCTCAGGACCCGCTCTTCGACTTATTTGGCGTGGGGAAAGCTTGGTTGTAAAGTCAGCAAGGGCAAGCCACTTTCCTGGGTAAAAGCGTTAGCATCAGGAAAACAAACCAATTTGGCAAGATGGCTTCGGTTTCCCTTTTGGTTTCCCTTCAAAACCACACAAAAATGGAGGATTCTCTGCTGGTACCAAGTCAAGAAAAGAGGAGCGGCGCACCCGTTTTTTTTTCTACCTCGGGGATGCGTTGAGAGACAACCCCTGGTTCAGACCCAGGGTTTGGCCAGTTTTTAGTCAAGGGGTTGACATGATAGGAACTAAGACACGTAGGTATGTGGAGGTGACGGGGGTGGTTTGCATGTCCGATGGGAGACACATGTTTGGGGGTAAGCAACAAGAGGCAAACAACATGTTATGTGGTAAGTGTTTTGGGAGACAAACTAGTGAAAAATGCGCTGAGCATTCGCTGCACAAAAGGAGTCAACGATTTGCACTCTTTTGCGTTTTTCCTAGGAACACGAAACTGAACCATGTTGCCCAAGGCTCCTCAAAGAAGACGAGTTTTGGTCAAACGAACCTGCTTTAGCAGCTGTTTCAAAGGGTTTCTACCCGTGCCAGCAGAGACCACGTTGCCTCTTCAGGCTTCCATTTGGGTTCAAGGCCCAAAAACCGAAGGCATTTGGCCCAGCGCTGGGCAGATTGGGGCTTACAAAACAATGTCAACATGTAGCCATCGTAGGTGTCAGAGTTTGGACTTTATTTGTGTGGCGCATCACCATATTAATTCTTGTTGACTTCGGATGTCTAACGACATGCGTCGCGGTTGGATTGGACTTATATCAGAGTCTATCCTTACAGAATTTCACAAGCACTAAGGGTCCTGGGGCTTGGTATGGCAGAACCCGGAAGTCCCCTTCTACCACATCCCGAGCTCCTTTAGGGGGGAACTCAAAGGGACATATCGTTATGTTCAGGAATTCCCCGACTTCATCGATCGGAGCCTTAAGGAAATCAATTGGGTATGGGCCAAAATTGATCCACCAGGAGACGGCAGGTTTTAGTCTTTGGTTCCAGTTACCAGGGCCCCATTTTGGGGTTACCCTATTTTTGACCCACAGCCACATCTTCTCATGGCGCGCGACATTTTGCCAAGATGACCGCCGAGTTCATCTCTCAGCTGCGTCGCTATGCAGAGGAGGCCGTGAATGCCGCGAGGGCTGACCTGGAAGTCAACCTGCGGCGACACACGAGCCAGGGACCCATGGTGTTACTTCAGCACGCTCTTGGCATTCTTTTTGTAGTTTTCAAAGCTCCGTTCATTGCTTGGCCTGTGATTCGTTTGTTGTTTTTTTGGCCTTCTTTGGGCTCTGTTCCTTTGTAGGGGGCTTGCCAAAAAGCTCCGCCGGAGATTTTTTTCTCGCAAAGCGGACCACCCGTTTGGAGGTTGGACGTGGCCCTGCCGGGCGCCGCCTACTTCTCGGTGGCTGCGGGTGGCATGGCGGACGTCTTGCACTTCTTGAGGCGGTTTCTTGACTGCTCTTGGGCAACGGATCTGGAGACGTTGCGGGGTGGAGGGGTGGAACCAGAGGATTGGAAGCCAGCTGGGACATCTCAAGCTGACATATATATATATATATATATATATATTTGTGTTTTGGGGGGGATCTTCACTTGACTGCTCTTGGGCAACGGATCTTTCGACCTTGAAACTTTTTGGTTGAAGATCAAGTTGGGTTTTCCGAACTGACCCCCCCAAAAAGTGAAGCTCGTTTTGCCGGAGGTCGTGACAGCAAGCAAGGTTTGTGCAGGTGGATCGCTTCGTCGGGGCCAGCGGCGGAGCATGTAGCCTCTTCCTGATCCTGGCGAATGACGCTCACTCGGAGCTGCTTCTTTTTTTTTTGGAGTCCGAACGGCGGTGGCTCGCTCAAAAAGCCGGCGACATGATGCCCGACAAAGGTGGGCATTTGGAGTAAGGGGTACACTAAGGGCCCCCTTTTGTAGGGCAGGGATTAAGGATTGCGATTGAAAAGCCCGGCTGGCTGTGGCGAGTTCAACAAACCGGGTAACACCAACCTGGCTTGCCCTGGGAAGTGGAAACATGGACCAAAATTTGCGGTTTGCCCCTTCTGTGTAATTTTGAGCCACACCCAAATACCAACGTCTTTTTCCCAAAAGCATCTCTGATGCTTGGGTTCTGCTTTAGGTTTTCTCTTAAGGTGCCTGGGAGCGATACAAGCTGTGACGACGGAGATAAGAAGGGATTTCCATTTCGTTGTGCTGCAGACCGGGCGTGCGATGCCGGCTGGGGGTAGACCGGGCGTACGAGGCTGGCTGGGGGGACGGCGGTGTGGGGCTGGTTGGGGGGACGGCGGTGTGGTGCAGACTGGGTGCGCGAGGCTGGCTGGAAACTGCCTGCGAGCGAGAGCGGCTGGCTGGACTGGGTGCGCGAGGCTGGCTGGCTGGCTGGGGGGACGCGCGAGGCTGGCTGGAAACCGCCCGCGAGCGAGACTGGCTGGCTGGGGGGACGGCGGTGTGGTGCAGACTGGGCGTGCGAGGCTGGCTAGAAACCGCCCGCGAGCGAGACTGGCGCGGTGGACGCTCGTGACATGCGGAAACCGCCCGCGAGCGAGACTGGCGCGGTGGACGCTCGTGACATGCGGAAACCGCCCGCGAGCGAGACTGGCGCGGTGGACGCGCGTGACATGCGGAAACCGCCCGCGAGCGAGACTGGCGCGGTGGACGCTTGTGACATGCGGAAACCGCCCGCGAGCAAGACTGCCGCGGTGGACGCTCGTGACATGCGGAAACCGCCCGCGAGCGAGACTGCCGCGGTGGACGCTCGTGACCTGCGGAAACCGCCTGCGGGCGAGACTGGCGCGGTGGACTCGCGTGACATGCGGAAACCGCCCGCGAGCGAGACTGGCGCGGTGGACGCTTGTGACATGCAGAAGCCGCCCGCGAGCGAGACTGGCGCGGTGGACGCTCGTGACATGCGGAAACCGCCCGTGAGCGAGACTGGCGCGGCGAGCGAGACTGGCGCGGTGGACGCTCGTGACATGCGGAAACCGCCCGCGAGCGAGACTGGCGCGGTGGACGCTCGTGACGCGGAAACCGCCCGCGAGCGAGACTGGCGCGGTGGACGCTCGTGACATGCGGAAACCGCCCGCGAGCGAGACTGGCGCGGTGGACGCTCGTGACATGCGGAAACCGCCCGCGAGCGAGACTGGCGCGGTGGACGCTCGTGACATGCGGAAACCGCCCGCGAGCGAGACTGGCGCGGTGGACGCTCGTGACATGCGGAAACCGCCCGCGAGCGAGACTGGCGCGGTGGACGCTCGTGACATGCGGCCCGCGAGCGAGACCGCCGACATGCGGAAACCGCCCGCGAGCGAGACTGGCGCGGTGGACGCTCGTGACATGCGGAAACCGCCCGCGAGCGAGACTGGCGCGGTGGACGCTCGTGACATGCGGAAACCGCCCGCGAGCGAGACTGGCGCGGTGGACGCTCGTGACATGCGGAAACCGCCCGCGAGCGAGACTGGCGCGGTGGACGCTCGTGACATGCGGAAACCGCCCGCGAGACTGGCGCAGACGCTCGTGCGGAAACCGCCCGCGAGCGAGACTGGCGCGGTGGACGCTCGTGACAGGCGGAAACCGCCCGCGAGCGAGACTGGCGCGGTGGACGCTTGTGACATGCGGAAACCGCCGCGAGCGAGACTGGCGCGGTGGACGCTCGTGACATGCGGAAACCGCCCGCGAGCGAGACTGGCGCGGTGGACGCTCGTGACATGCGGAAAACGATTGGCGCGGTGGACGCTCGTGACATGCTGAAACCGCCCACGAGCGAGACTGGCGCGGTGGACGCTCGTGACATGCGGAAGCCGCCCGCGAGCGAGACTGGCGCGGTGGACGCTCGTGACATGCGGAAGCCGCCCGCGTGCGAGACTGGCGCGGTGGACGCTCGTGACATGCGGAAGCCGCCCGCGAGCGAGACTGGCGCGGTGGACGCTTGTGACATGCGGAAACCGCCCGCGAGCGAGACTGGCGCGGTGGACGCTCGTGACAGGCGGAAAGCGAGACTGGCGTGATGGACGCTCGTGACATGCGGAAACCGCCCGCGAGCAAGACTAGCGCGGTGGACGCTCGTGACATGCGGAAACCGCCCGCGAGCGAGACTGGCGCGGTGGACGCTCGTGACATGCGGAAACCGCCCGTGATGGCGCGGTGGACGCTCGTGACATGCGGAAACCGCCCACGAGCGAGACTGGCGCGGTGGACGCTCTTGACATGCGGAACCGCCCGGCCCGCGAGCGAGACTGGTGCGATGGACGCTCTTGACATGCGGAAACCGCCCGCGAGCGAGACTGGCGGTGGACGCTCGTGACATGCGGAAACCGCCCCCGAGCGAGACTGGCGCGGGGGACGCTCGTGACATGCGGAAACCGCCCGCGAGCGAGACTGGCGCGGTGGACGCTCGTGACATGCGGAAACCGCCCGCGAGCGAGACTGGCGCGGTGGACGCTCGTGACATGCGGAAACCGCCCGCGAGCGAGACTGGCGCGGTGGACGCTCGTGACATGCGGAAACCGCCCGCGAGCGAGACTGGCGCGGTGGACGCTCGTGACATGCGGAAACCGCCCGCGAGCGAGACTGGCGGCGGACGCTCGTGACATGCGGAAACCGCCCGCGAGCGAGACTGGCGCGGTGGACGCTCGTGACATGCGGAAACGCCCGCGAGCGAGACTGCGCGGTGGACGCTCGTGACATGCGGAAACCGCCCGCGAGCGAGACTGGCGCGGTGGACGCTCGTGACATGCGTGACACGCGGAAACCGCCCGCGAGCGAGACTGGCGCGGTGGACGCTCGTGACATGCGGAAACTGCCCGTGAGCGAGACTGGCGCGGTGGACGCTCGTGACATGCGGAAACCGCCCGCGAGCGAGACTGGCGCGGTGGACGCTCGCGACAGGCGGAAACTGCCCGCAAGCAAAACTGGCGCGGTGGACGCTCGTGACATGCGGAAACCGCCCGCGAGCGAGACTGGCGCGGTGGACGCTTGTGACATGTGGAAACCGCCCGCGAGCGAGACTGGCGCGGTGGACGCTCGTGACATGCGGAAAGAGCCCGCGAGCGAGACTGGCGCGGTGGACGCTCGTGACATGCGGAAACCGCCCGCGAGCGAGACTGGCGCGGAGGACGCTCGTGACAGGCGGAAACTGCCCGCGAGCGAGACTGGCGCGGTGGACGCTTGTGACATGAGGAAATGGCCCGCGAGCGCGACTGGCGCGGGGGACGCTCGTGACATGCGGAAACCGCCCGCGAGCGAGACTGGCGCGGTGGACGCTCGTGACATGCGGAAACCGCCCGCGAGCGAGACTGGCGCGGTGGACGCTCGTGACATGCGGAAACCGCCCGCGAGCGAGACTGGCGCGGTGGACGCTCGTGACAGGCGGAAACCGCCCGCGAGCGAGACTGGCGCGGTGGACGCTCGTGACAGGCGGAAACCGCCCGCGAGCGAGACTGGCGCGGTGGACGCTCGTGAGTGACATGCGGAAACCGCCCGCGCGAGACTGGCGCGGTGGACGCTCGTGACATTCGGAAACCGCCTGCGAGCGAGACTGGCGCGGTGGACGCTCGTGACAGGCGGAAACCGCCCGCGAGCGAGACTGGCGCGGTGGACGCTCGTGACATGCGGAAACCGCCCGCGAGTGAGACTGGCGCGGTGGACGCTCGTGACATGCGGAAAACGCCCGCGAGCGAGACTGGCGCGGTGGACGGTCGTGACATGCGGAAACCGCCCGCGAGCGAGACTGGCGCGGTGGACGCTCGTGACATGCGGAAACCGCCCGCGAGCGAGACTGGAGCGGTGGACGCGTGACATGCGGTGGACGCTCGTGACATGCGGAAACCGCCCGTGGACGCTTGTGACAGGCGGAGCGAGACTGGCGCGGTGGACGCTCGTGACATGCGAAAACCGCCCGCGAGCGAGACTGGCGCGGTGGACGCTCGTGACATGCGGAAACCGCCCGCGAGCGAGACTGGCGCGGTGGACGCTCGTGACATGCGGAAACCGCCCGAGAGCGAGACTGGCGCGGCGGACGCTCGTGACATGCCGGCGAGCGAGACTGGCGCGGTGGACGCCCGTGACATGCCGGCGAGCGAGACTGGCGCGGTGGACGCTCATGACATGCGGCAACCGCCACGTGCGCGGCCCCATGTGAACAGCCCGGCGTTCCAGGTACGCCATACTTGTCCTTTTTTCCGCACACCTGACCCGAACAAACGGTGCCCATGTGTTTCTAGGACGAACCCTCTCTTCAGAAGCTGTAGCCTCTTGGGGTTCGCCCTACTTATTTGGAAGCAGCCTGGAAGCACGTGGACATGAACACTCGGCTCTCTGATCGATCCACTCTGGAAGCATTCGGGATGCCTCAGCTCTTTGTTGTAGCAGGCAGACCAAATGGATGGCGCGCTGCAAAAATGGCTCACAGGAAACGGTCACTGATTCTTCTTTGCTTGCCTCCAAGATGTTGGAGTTTCAGGGAGTGGTAGTTTGTGCGGATCCATTCTCGGATTTCTGCGATTGGTTCTTCATGATGAATCAGATGACTTCGTGCCTTCCATGTAGTGCGGGGCCTGTCATGTTTCACCCGTGCCTTTGCCTTTTTCTCTGTGCTTGGTCAGAGCACAGGCTGCCAATCCGGCTTGAGTCGCGGTTGCTCCCCTTCTTCATCTGTTTTGGGGTTGATTTCCCAACTGTTAACAACTTAAATCTTGGTTTGCCTTCGGACCCTTGAGCCGGAAAACAACGGGATCCACATGCCATGGGGAGTGAGGCTGGTTTGCTTTTGGGTTCCCGGGCTCCTCTTGTTTTGAGTTCTTTTGGAGTACAGGGTTGACATGATGCCGAAAAAACAAAAGGGGGCTTGCTCACCTTTTTCGCACCACCGTTCAGAAACCCTGGTTTCTGATTCGATTCGCCAACGTAAATACCAACAAACAATGGTTTCAGCCATGGTTTCCAAGCGGTGCAGGATTTCGCGCACCCACAGAATTTGCTTGGATTTGTCAGCCTTAACTTTGTGGCAAAGAGTCGACTTGTCTCACCAAACAACAAGTCGGTCTTTTTGCACAGGGGGCAATAGCCACCAAGGACAAGTCTCTTCAACCAGGCAGAGCCGGTGTGTGCCCGGATGCGGAAGAGTTAATCCGCTCCTATCTGATGTATGCGGAGTCTGAGGGTACAGGCAGCTTGTCCAGGTGGTGGAATGCCAGTCGACAAATCTTTGCAGGAGTGTCGAACTTTTGGGAAAGAAGATATGAAGAGCTTTTGCAAGATGAGCGAGCTTGGACTGCGGTTCGTCAGCGAGCCTTCTGCGCGGTTTCTGCGCGCCCGATGCGGCAAAATCTGTTTGGCAGTCCAAGCCAGTCTGACGATCGTTTTCATTGCGCGGCTGACAACTACATCATGCATTCCTTTACCAGCCACAAAGAGGTAGTTCAATCTTTTGTGGCCACTGGCGAAGCTACCATCAAAGGATTTGCGACTCGCCAAGTGCAACCACACCAGGCTAATTACTTGTTTAGATGCTATGCACTGCAAGGCAGGGCAATGTATCTACTATGATACTCATATCATCAGGAATCAGAATGTCGGTACCCCTTGTTGGATGGCTTTAAAGAGAAACCAAAAAGGAACATTTTTTGGGGACCCTAGCCCATATGTTGTGTATTTTCCTTGTTAGTTTGAAAGGAATCGACCTTCCCTCCATCACGGAAGCTGACGACCGGAGGGTGGAAGGCATGGCTTTCCGTTTGGGGAAGGTTCCGAAGTTTCGATTCTTCACTTGCATTGGATAGAGGACCACGGCCTTTCCATGTGTTCTTAAACCCTGCTCCAACTACCCACCTTTTTGAAAGGCGATCGGTTTTCCACGCAAAATACCGATCCCTTTTTGAGTGCAGGGTTGACATGGTACGGTTGACATGATACGAACTACCTACACTTTTATCAGGCTAGGATTTGTCAACCCTCTACTAGAAGAGGGTTCGGTATTTACCTTGGAACACCGATAATTTTTTTGTTTTTCATTAAACACCTACCGGCCTTTGCCTGGGACCACCGGTTTGTTTTTCTTAAAGACATCTGAAAGTTTGAGCGGGTTTATGTGGTTCGCTCTCGGGGGGCGGGGGTAAAACGGTGAAAGGCGGTTGGTCTGGCGTTTCGGTTGGTGCGCCGGGCCTTCCGAGGCCATGGGCATCCCGATCTCCGGCGAGGACTGGGCCCTCGCCGCCGCCGAGTCCGGCGCCGCCGGCGCGGGCTCGGCGGCCCGGGTGAAGCTGCCGGCCAGCTTCTGTGGCTCGGCGAAGTGGGCTGAAGATCAACCATTTTCTTAATGGAATTTGGGGAGGAAGCCCTGGAATTCTACTTATGGTTCCATTTTCCTTTTACATGGGACTGGAGGACTGAAATTGGGGACCCCCCACCCCCCTTCCCCAGGGGATGGCTGAAGCCCAAGGGTCGAGGTGACTTCTCTGCCCCCGTGACCTCCGAATCGCCTGTTTCTTTTTCTTTTACGGGGATGATTTGTCAACCCTCTACAACAGCAGCAGGTATTTACCATGAGAAACCCAGGTTTCCCAAGAAATGCCCTGAAAAGGGTGTGTATTTGGAGTGCGAGAACACATAATTGTTCGGTCTTTGGTTTGGATGTTCGGTGTCGTTGTTTTTCTGGAACCCGCTCATTTTGTTTGAAGGGACACCAACATGAAACCGGTATGTTTCGGATCCCCCTGGTCTGCGGAATCTTTTTTGGATTGGAGCACGCCTTTACACCTGTCACACTTTTTTGTTGTGTTTTATGATTGGCATGATCTCAAGCGCATCAATTTAGTTTGTCAGCATCCGAGTCGGAGCCCGATTTCGCACAAATCGCCCAGGTGACGGAGGTCATCCAGTCACCTTCAACTCAGCGCTTTGTCCGGAAAATGCGGCTGAGCGACAGCGTATCCTGGCTGCATTGCTTCAACTTTTGGGGAGCTTTCCCACCAGCAAAACGGATAAAAGTGGCTCAGCTTTTCGCAACTGGCAATTGGCAATCGATCCCCACAGAGAGGCAACTTCCTGCTGTACTACGCCACCTGGTTCGAGAACGCTTCTGATTGCCTTCTCTGTAGCCCCGAAAGCATTGAACGGCTTTACAAACGCGGAGTGGACCGCACCATCGCTTGCTTGCTCAGTCCTTCTTTGATGTCTCCGGCCGAGTCTGGCTCGGATTCCAAGGAGTCCTCCGATCTTTTCGCGTTTTCCAATGTTTCCCTACATTCCAAGTAAGGAAGCAAAGACACTCAAAGTTACTGTGTTTTGCCGTGGTTTTGTGGTGGAGCATGGTTGGTTTTCTGCAATATTTGGGGCATCTATCGCGGACATACATGCATGCATGCATGCATGCATACATACATACCCACATACAGACATACAAACATACACACGTATACATATACGTACACATACATTACATTACATTACATTTCCATACATTGCATTACATTACATTACATTACATTACATTGTATTACGTTACATTACATTACATACATATTTGCATACATACATACACACATTACATTACATTACATTACATACATTGCATTACATTGCATTACATTACATTACATTACATTACATTTACATTACATTACATTACCATGCCTTACCTCACCTTACATTACATTACATTATATTACATTATAATATATTACATACATACATACATACATACATACATACATACATACATACATACATACATACATACATACATACATACATACATACATACATACATACATACATACATACATACATACATACATACATACATACATACATACATACATACATACATACATACATACATACATACATACATACATACATACATACATACATACATACATACATACATACATACATACATACATACATACACATACATACAGACTATACATAGACTACATACATACATACGTACGTACGTACATACATACATACGTACGTACATACATACATACATACCTGCATACATACATACATACATACACATATACATACATACATACGTACGTACGTACATACATACATACGTACGTACATACATACATACTTACAGACATACAGACATACAGACGTACATACATACATACGTACGTACGTACATACATACGTACGTACATACCTACATTGCGTACATACATACACATATACACACATACATACATACATACAGACATACAAACGTACAGACATACATTACATTACATGACATTGCATTGCATTGCATTTCATTACATTACATTTCATTACATGGCATACATTACATTACATACATCACATACATTACATTCACTACGCTCATTACATACACTACACACATTACGTACACACCTGCATACATACCAGAACCTAACCTAGCATAACATAACATAGCAAACCATAACACAACATAGAATAGCAGATGCATTACACTCACACACACACATGCATGTATGCATACATACGTACGTATGTGTTTTTTAATACAGTCTCGTGGTGGTGTATTCTTTGCGCCCCTTTTCTTCCCGTGTCAACTCTGCAGGACAAAATGATCATCATCGCTCCGGATGCCGATTTGGACGAGGAGCTGGGCAAGCTGGGCAAGCCGGGGATCCTGAAGGGTGGAACTTTTGTGGACCTCTCGCGCAAGGAGCTGCGGCCAGCGAAGGCTCGATAGATGGCATGGGTGTCGGGTGGCAAGAAGAAGCTGAGCGAGCCCGAGCATGGGTGGGAAGGGCCGAATGGAGCGCTTTCTGCTTATTGGAATGGGTGCGAAAGCAACTGGTGCTTTTGTCCGGATCAAAGCAACGTGTGGCGTCTTCCGCTGCTGCGGGGCAAGTCTGAGGCCGGCAACAGCAGTCAGATTCAGTCTCAAGAACATCGGCGCGCCATTCCGGCGGATAGCTTTGAAAACAGCCGCGGCGGGTGCACCAGGGAGGCCGCTGAAAACCGGCAAGTTGTGCAAGTGGGTGGCCTGACTATGCCTCAGTAACCGGTGAGTATCAGTTGAGTTGCCGGTGAGAAGCAAGCCGACGACCTAAGATTGGACCAGGGCGAAGCCTCCGCCTTCGTGGCACTTGCCCAAAACCCAGCCCGCTTTTGAAGGGTATGTCGACCCTTTAAGCAACAAGGAGGCATTTGCCACATGGAAAGCCGTTTTTTTTTTTCCAACACATACCCGGAACATCCGCTATTTGGAGTAGGGGGTACGCACACATGATCCTCCCACGATGAAGCATCTTGGCTCAGGACCCGCTCCGCGATTCATTTGGCCCAGCACTTACCCCCACAGCCAAGCCTTTTGACCCTTTGGGTTTCCGCTTTGGGTTCCCATTTGGGGGTTGATCAATATTCCTGGCCCCATGGGTAGCTTTTCCCATTTAGTGGTGACAGTCATCTTTTTGGCGGTTTCCCCCAATGGTCACCATGATACCCAATAAAACATTCTGGGCAACTGAGTGGTTGAAAAGACAGATCAAAAGGGGGATGCTTACAGTCAGTTGTTCCCCAAAACTGCGTGTTCTTCCGGCTTGGGGACCAATCTCCGGGTGTCCCTTTGGTTTCCCGTGTAAAAGGGCTCGGACTCCTTTGAGAAGCCGAAATCCCATGAGACCGCGCCGATTGAGCCAGGCCCGGAATCTGTCTTTTTGTACCCCCGTAATCTCCAAGATCTGTTTTTAGGGTATCATATCAGACTAAAAAAGGGACCGGTATTTACACTGGAACGCCTGTTTTTTTTTCCTTTCCGGTTTTTCAACTAAACAAAGCGCTTGGTATTTGGAGGCAAACCGGGGGTCGGATTTGGACCCCCAAGACGGCTTTTCGCCTTGCATGCGCCTGGATCCGCTTGAGCGGGGCGCCGCCGCCAAGCTGGGGCTGCCGCCAGAGGCGGGACATCGGGGAGAAGCCGATGCCGCAGGATGGTCCCCCGTAAGCTCCAATTCCTCCGCTCTTCCAAGAAATACTCGGAAAAACACACGCAGATCTTTGGAGCACCCCTTACTCCAAAGACCTTTTTTGCCAGGGTATGTGGTCTGGGCCCTACACTTTGAGGTGACTTTCGCGGAAAACGAGTCTTTGTTGACAACAGGGTTTACGAGGGATCGAACCTCCTACACCCAAAACACACTTTTTTAGGATATGGTGTCAACCCTTTCGTGAAAAAGGAGGTGTTTACCTTGGAAAACCATATCTTTCAAGCAACACCAAGTCACCAATGCGGGTGTTTGGACGTTGCGGGGTGGAGGGATGGCACCAAAAAGGAAGCCAGCTGGGACATCCCATGCTGATATTTGGGGGGGGATCTTTGGCCTTTCGCATTTTTTGGGGCCAGCGTGGGTTTTTTGGCACCACTGGGAACCCCAGTGGGCGCTTCTTTCAAATTTCGCGGAGGGCGAATGACGCTGAGAAGGAAGTTCCTGCCTGGCTGGTTAGTGGCAGCCGTCGTTGATTAATGCTTTCTGCGAGACTGCTGCACATGATGACAAACATAATCCCAGCTCTCTGATGGCATTCGTGCCGTGAAGAGTGCTTGTTCCGACGCTTTGTCTGATGGCAGAGAGGGCTGTGGGGCTGTATGAAGATGCTTGAAACTCGTGACTTGTGTGGCTTGGTTGCGAATCCCTTTGAGTCATGCAGCGTAGCAACAGGCATGTGTGGGTGGACGGCAGAGATATGACCACGGGTGTTTTGCTGGGAAGGAAGCCAGCGACAGGGTACTTTCTAGTGCTCGTTGCTGGTTCGTGGCAGCTGTCATCGGCTGCATATGATGACAAACATAATCCCAGCTCTCTGATGGCATTCGTGCCGTGAAGAGTGCTTGTTCCGACACTTTGTCTGATGGCAGAGAGGGCTGTGGGGCTATATGAAGATGCTTGAAACTCGTGACTTGTGTGGCTTGGTTGCGAATCCCTTTGAGTCATGCAGCGTAGCAACAGGCATGTGTGCATGGGTGGACGGCAGAGATATGACCACGGGTGTTTTGCTGGGAAGGAAGCCAGCGACAGGGTACTAGTGCTCGTTGCTGGTTCGTGGCAGCTGTCATCGGCTGCATATGATGACAAACATAATCCCAGCTCTCTGATGGCATTCGTGCCGTGAAGAGTGCTTGTTCCGACACTTTGTCTGATGGCAGAGAGGGCTGTGGGGCTGTATGAAGATGCTTGAAACTCGTGACTTGTGTGGCTTGGTTGCGAATCCCTTTGAGTCATGCAGCGTAGCAAGAGGCATGTGTGCATGGGTGGACGGCAGAGATATGACCACGGGTGTTTTGCTGGGAAGGAAGCCAGCGACAGGGTACTAGTGCTCGTTGCTGGTTAGTAGCAGCTGTCATTGGCTGCATATGATGACAAACATAATCCCAGCTCTCTGATGGCATTTGTGCCGTGAAGAGTGCTTGTTCCGACACTTTGTCTGATGGCAGAGAGGGCTGTGGGGCTGTATGAAGATGCTTGAAACTCGTGACTTGTGTGGCTTGTGTGCGAATCCCTTTGAGTTATGCAGCGTAGCAACAGGCATGCGTGCATGGGTGGACGGCAGAGATATGACCACGGGTGTTTTGCTGGGAAGGAAGCCAGCGACAGGGTACTTTCAAGTGCTTGTTGCTGGTTCGTGGCAGCTGTCATCGGCTGCATATGATGACAAACATAATCCCAGCTCTCTGATGGCATTCGTGCCGTGAAGAGTGCTTGTTCCGACACTTTGTCTGATGGCAGAGAGGGCTGTGGGGTATGAAGATGCTTGAAACTCGTGACTTGTGTGGCTTGTGTGCGAATCCCTTTCAGTTATGCAGCGTAGCAACAGGCATGCGTGCATGGGTGGACGGCAGAGATATGACCACGGGTGTTTTGCTGGGAAGGAAGCCAGCGACAGGGTACTTTCTAGTGCTTGTTGCTGGTTAGTGGCAGCTGTCATCGGCTGCATATGATGACAAACATAATCCCAGCTCTCTGATGGCATTCGTGCCGTGGAGAGTGCTTGTTCCGACACTTTGTCTGATGGCAGAGAGGGCTGTGGGGTATGAAGATGCTTGAAACTCGTGACTTGTGTGGCTTGGTTGCGAATTCGTTTGAGTCATGCAGCGTAGCAACAGGCATGTGTGCATGGGTGAACGGCAGAGATACGACCACGGGTGTTTTGCTGGGAAGGAAGCCAGCGACAGGGTACTTTCAAGTGCTTGTTGCTGGTTCGTGGCAGCTGTCATCGGCTGCATATGATGACAAACATAATCCCAGCTCTCTGATGGCATTCGTGCCGTGAAGAGTGCTTGTTCCGACACTTTGTCTGATGGCAGAGAGGGCTGTGGGGCTGTATGAAGATGCTTGAAACTCGTGACTTGTGTGGCTTGTGTGCAAATCTTTTTGAGTCATGCAGCGTAGCAACAGGCATGTGTGCATGGGTGGACGGCAGAGATATGACCACGGGTGTTTTGCTGGGAAGGAAGTCAGCGACAGGGTACTTTCTAGTGCTTGTTGCTGGTTAGTGGCAGCTGTCATGGGCTGCATATGATGACAAACATAATCCCAGCTCTCTGATGGCATTCGTGCCGTGAAGAGTGCTTGTTCCGACACTTTGTTTGATGGCAGAGAGGGCTGTGGGGCTGTATGAAGATGCTTGAAACTCGTGACTTGTGTGGCTTGGTTGCGAATCCCTTTGAGTCATGTAGCGTAGAAACAGGCATGTGTGCGTGGGTGGACGGCAGAGATATGACCACCGGTGTTTTGCTGGGAAGAAAGCCAGCGACAGGTTACTAGTGCTTGTTGCTGGTTCTTGTGTGGCTTGGTTGCGAATCCCTTTGAGTCATGCAGCGTAGCAACAGGCATGTGTGGGTGGACGGCAGAGATATGACCACGGGTGTTTTGCTGGGAAGGAAGCCAGCGACAGGGTACTTTCTAGTGCTCGTTGCTGGTTAGTGGCAGCTGTCATCGGCTGCATATGATGACAAACATAATCCCAGCTCTCTGATGGCATTCGTGCCGTGAAGAGTGCTTGTTCCGACACTTTGTCTGATGGCAGAGAGGGCTGTGGGGCTGTATGAAGATGCTTGAAACTCGTGACTTGTGCGGCTTGGTTGCGAATCCGTTTGAGTGATGCAGCGTAGCAAGAGGCATGTGTGCATGGGTGGACGGCAGAGATATGACCACGGGTGTTTTGCTGGGAAGGAAGCCAGCGACAGGGCACTAGTGCTCGTTGCTGGTTAGTAGCAGCTGTCATCGGCTGCATATGATGACAAACATAATCCCAGCTCTCTGATGGCATTCGTGCCGTGAAGAGTGCTTGTTCCGACACTTTGTCTGATGGCAGAGAGGGCTGTGGGGCTGTATGAAGATGCTTGAAACTCGTGACTTGTGTGGCTTGGTTGCGAATCCGTTTGAGTGATGCAGCGTAGCAAGAGGCATGTGTGCATGGGTGGACGGCAGAGATATGACCACGGGTGCTTTGCTGGGAAGGAAGCCAGCGACAGGGCACTAGTGCTCGTTGCTGGTTAGTGGCAGCTGTCATCGGCTGCATATGATGACAAACATAATCCCAGCTCTCTGATGGCATTCGTGCCGTGAAGAGTGCTTGTTCCGACACTTTGTCTGATGGCGGAGAAGGCTGTGGGCCTGTATGTTTGAAGCTTGCAGCACATGTGGCTTGGTCGTGTCGCTGGCTGGGGTGAGAAGGTTAGAATGCCCGTTCAATGCCTTTCGTAGGGATGCAGCAACAGGCAATCTGCATGGACGGAACGGGCTCGTTCCGACCGCCGGCATGTGTCGATGATGCAGCTGCAGAACTCCTTTGATGAATTGGACGCATTTGGCAAGAGACCCGTCATCTTGATGTCTGCCCTTTTTGACCAGGAACGGATATTTGGAGGTTTCGGGGGACTTCAATGGAGCTGAAAAATTTCAATTCAGCTCCCCCATTTGGCCTTGGGCTCAAGAAACCGGTACTAAGAATGGCGTGCCCGCCCGATCGGGAAGTGGAAACGTGGGGACCAAAACCTGGCGG